GAGGCCAAGACGGGCCTCCGGCTGCTTCGGTGTCTTCCCTGGGTACCCGATCACCGGAGGAAGCCCACGCCACGTTCGAGGACAAAACCAGTCAGCAGGGCCGGCCGGAGGCCACCCTTCCGCCCCACCGGTCAGAGCCAGCCATCTCGAATTAGGCTGTATCTGCCACCAATGGCCACGGGGCCACAAAATACGGCTGAGGTGCCTGGGAGGAGGCCTGAACCACAGCGGTGCGGACTCCCTTCTCGGGTGAGGCGAGGGCGTGACCCAGACGTGCCAGTGGGCACGGACAGGAAGCCGGGCTCTGCAGAAGCAAGCCATCTCGCCTGCCACAGGCCGCTCGCGAGGCATGGAGCCCCGGGGAGGGAGCTGAGCGCACACGTGGAGGTGGTGGCCGCTGTGAGTCGCCGTCGCCGGTGACTTACGCAGAGAATGAGATCCAGAAGCCCCTTTGCCTGATTCGGAGGAGGAACACACACATCCTCACACGGTGCCATACTGCACGGGGCAACACAGCCCACCCGTGCCGACCATCAGCTGCATGTGGTGCATAAGCAGCTGAGAAGTTATTTTTCCAAAATCCCAGAATCATTTTCTTCACTTGTCCTGTCCCTGTGTAAAGCGACAGGCTCTCCCCACCGCCCAGCCCCACGCCGGCTGCGGTGGCTGCGTCAGGCGGCCGCGTGCAGCACCCCCGGGAGCATGTTCGCTCTGCTCACTGCAGCCGCAGCTGGAGTCGGGGGAGTTTAGCGGGTCAGACCTATGTGTTTCCAAGTCCAGGGCACCCCCTGACCCTCCACCCACAGCGCCGCCGCCAGAAGCCCAGGACCAAGAGACTCAGGACGAGCTAAGACGGGGCCCTGGGTCCTGCGCCCAGTAAATGTGGGAAGATGGGAAACGACACAGTTATCGACTTTGCTCCTGATTCAAAAGGAGGAGGAGGTGTTGGCAGCACCTGTGAGGACTAAAAGGAGCAAAACGAAGTCCGCAGAGGTGACGACGGGGACACGACCGTGAGGGTGGCCGAGACGCACCGCGGTAACAGACCGCCCGACTGGGGGCTCGCAGCTCCAAGGCGAGTGGCGGGAGGGCGCCAGCCCCCACTGCAGGGATCCCAGGGAGAGACTGGCTGGCGAGCTGGCCGGCAGCCAGGGGCACTGGGCAGTGTCCCCAGAGGAAGAGGCCCAGTGCCCAGAAGGGCACGGGCTGGCCTCGCGGCGGGTAGGTGGTGAAAGCAAATTTCTGCACTGGGTTAGCCACACGGTTGGATGCTCTGGCGGTGACAGCTGCCAGCTCAGAGGTGCCAGGGCTCTGCCCCAGGGCGACGAGGCCTCTGTGACCTTATCAAGGACCTCTGCCCATTAGCCGAGCTGCCCGGCCCCTGCGGGCTTCTGGGTGTCACAGGAGAAGACACCTGCGTGGGGGTGGCTGGCGCCCTCCTGCCTTCCGGGACCCTAGGAAGCCTCGATGGGCCCCCCAAAAAGCAACACCATCTCCCTCTTCCGGGAGTCCTGGCGGCGGCGGAAGGTGTCAGAGGACGTGTCCGCGCTGTTCGCATGTATTCCCGAGGGGACCTCTGTCCCCAGGGCAGTGCTGGGAAGACGAACTCCACTGTCCCCTTCGCCCCGCTTCCCTGGAGAGGAGAGCCGCTCATGGCACTGGCCCTTCCAGCCGGCGGGCCCCTGGCCCAGTGTGGACGGACTCCCTTCCCACGTCTGCCTCCACTCAGCCGGGGCTCTTCCTGGGGAAGGCCTGGGCCCAGTCTTCCCATCCCCCACATAGAGACGTGGCCGTTTATGGGGTAAGGAGCCCCCTCTGCATCTCAGCTGGCTTGTCCCAGCTGTGGGCCCAGCTGAGCCCACAGACCCCCACCACCCCCTCCCTCCAATGCTCCCAGCAACCCTGGCCTGACCCCGACTGGGGTGCTGTGGGTGGTGACCATTCCCAGCCCCACGTGCATGCCGGACACCAGCGACGCGGGATGCGAGCAGCCGGGGACCTGGCCGGGCTGCCCACTGCACTTACTGGGAGATGAGCTCAGCTGACCTTCCCTTCAGACCGCATTCTGAGAACGGTTTGCGTTTTCTTCTGCCTCGGCTGGCGGAGAAGCGGGCCCTGCCGGGCCGGGGTGGTCCCGGCCGCCAGCTCTCCCCGCGGCATCTCCCGCTAATGAGACGCTTAGTCTCCGCTGTCCCCGTGAGCTCCGGATGAGTGGAAGGACAGACGGCCCTGCTTCTGTCGGGGAGCTGTGATATTGCTTGTTGTTGTGTCGTTAATTCTGTCGGAAGCGCAGAAGCATCGAGCGACACGGTCTAAGCAAACAAAAGGCTGCAGAGGGAGAAGTGAGCACGGAGCTCTGAGGCCCGGAGCGCGTGGTCTCGCCGACCGTAGGACGCCACGCTCCGTCTGCTCTGCAGTCACCGGCAACGGAGACAACGGCGCTGCCCCTCAACCGCCGTCAGAAAGATCTGTGCGTGTATTTTTGGCGGCCGGAGACAGAAAGGTTTGAAGACGCAGCACTGCTGACTCTGAAGATGGAGGCGGGCGCCCCCGGGAGCCGGACAAGGCCGGGGAACAGAGTCCCAGAGCCTCGGGCCACGTGCCCGCTGACGCCCTGACCAGGACTTCCGACCCCAGGCCCCGGAGAGCACGCGTTCGCGCTGTTTTAAACCGCCGTTCGCTTCTGCGGCCGTAGAAAACGAGGAAGCCGGCCGCACCCCGGGACGGCCCGGGCGCGGGGGCACAGGCGCGACGCACTCGCTGACGGACAGAAGGACGAGTCACAGGCGCCAGGGGCCGTTGCCTGGGGCCCTGAGGCTGTCGGGAGGCGCAAACCCGGGTGGGCACGAGAGCCCCTCGCAGCACCTCTGAAGAAGGGCGAATTTGGAAACCACCTGCGTATTCGCTTCCGTAACGTCGTTCTGAGAAAAAACTCAAAATCCAGAAAAGCTGCACGACGCAGCCAGAGAAGAGCTGCGCTGCCCGGCCGTCGCCACGGGCTCGGCCGCGCCGGCCCCGAGCTACAGGCTCCTTGGTGGAGAATGAAGCGAGTCACCGTCCAGTCCGTGCGACGGACCGAGACGCAGCCACACGTAACGTGGCAGAACACACGTTCACCCGCGCGGTCGGCCACTGTTCCTTAGGGCGCGGACCCCCCCCACGCCCCCATCCCACAGCGGGAAGGGGCATCGCGGGAGGAACCACGCGTCAGGCCCAGCACCCCGTTCCTACCACCTACCCCAGCGGCACGGCCCAGGCACCGCACACCCCGCACACACCGCACACAACTCACACCTCACACACCGCACAACTCACACCTCACACACCGCACACAATTCACACCTCACACCGCACACACCTCACACCTCACACACCGCACAACTCACACCTCACACCACACACACTGCACACACCGCACACACCTCATACAACTCACACCTCACACTGCACACACACACCTCACACCTCACACCGCACACACTGCACACACTGCACACTGCACACACCTCACACCTCACACCGCACGCACCACACATAACTCACACCTCACACCGCACACACCTCACACAACTCACACCTCACACAACTCACACTTCACACACCACACACATCTCACACCTGCACACACCTCATACCCCGCACACACCTCACACAACTCACACCGCACACCGCACACACCTCACACAACTCACACCTCACACCGCACACACCGCACACACCACACACTCCTCACACACCTCACACACCTCACACACATCTCACACACCTCACACACCTCCCACACATCCTCCAAGCAGAGCACACGGCTGGGGGTGTCCCCAGGGTGGGGACCGGGCAGGGGAGCACCATAGGGATCACGGAGGCCTCCTGGTCCCACCTCCTGCTGTTTGCCACCTGGTGACTCAGGAATGAAGAGACTCGCTCACTAGCCTGCCCCACGCACGTCGTTGACTCTGCCACACTTGAACTTCACCCTGGGGACAGGACCCCTTAAGAGGGACTTGGGAGTACCAGGCCAGGACTTCACCCCCAGGGCACTCTGAGCTGACCATTAGGAGCTAGCGGCCTGTCCTGGCCGCATCCTCGTCCACTGACTACCAGGATATGGAAGGAGGCGGCGGTGTGCGGTGTGCGGTGTGCGGTGTGCGGTGTGCGGTGTGCGGTCCGCGGGACGGAGTCCAGCCCTCGCAGGCATGGTCCGTGAGCTCGCAGCTCCTTGCGCATCGGCTTCCCCACTGTAGGGACCGTGCACGTCAGATCCGGTGACGGAGCCTGTACTGACTGCGCGAGGAGCTGGAGGGGGTATGGGTGCTTGGGAGATGCCCTGCCCGAGGAAGAGACTGAGGGTCCAGAGGGGCCCGGGCATGAGCTGGCCTCAGCTGCTCGGTCCCCTCTCCCTGGCTCACGTGTCGACTCGGGAAACTGGACCACAACGATCTCAAGGGTGCCTCTCCCGGGGGGTGAGACCTCAGGAACGCATCAGATCGCAGGTCATGGGGGTGTTCCGGAAAGATAATCTAGTCCAGCCTCCGGCATCAGACGAGTGGCATCTGCCCCTCTGAGGACCAATGGCCAGTTGGTCAGTCGGTCAGTCGCCCACAAAGCGGTCTGAACCTTCTGGCTCTGACGTCTGCTTAAATCGGAACGTTTGCTCACAATCTTTTTGTACACGGAGTAATGATGGCTGTGGGTGGCTCTGGGGCCTGTCCTGGCTCTCGATTTCAAGCGTTATCAGTTACAGAAAGCAAACACTCTTGAAAACAGAAACGTTCCAAACCACCAACCTCTCTTGGGATGAGGGAGCAGCAGCAGCACCTTTGCTCACGAGAAAGCCCCGTTTCTCTCGAGCTCGGAGCCAAGAGGCCTGACCAGGGAGCAGCGGCAGCACCTTTGCTCACGAGAAAGCCCCGTTTCTCTCTCCCAGACCGTCTTCCCCAGCGTGAGCCCCCAGGTGCCTAGCGAGACTCACAGGGGTGGCAGTTACGGAGAGGGTGGCCTACCTGCCAGGTCCTTCTCAAAGAACGGCTGGATGACCTCGCCGAACTTGGACTTGTCGGCCACGGCCTCTTTCAGCAGTCGCCCACAGCAGACTGGAGGGAGAGAAACACAGAGACACCCGTTAAATCGTAAACGGAAGGGAAATCGAGGAAAAAGGAAACCGCGGGGCGGCTTGCTGGGCAGGGGCGGTGGGGAGGTCACTGAAAACACATGAAAGGGTTTCCTGAGTGTGGGGGTGTGGCCGAGTGAAAGCAAACATCACACAGGGATGGGGGAAATGGCCGCTGAGGAGGGAGACGCAGGATGAAGAAGAAGACACCTGGCAAAGAACAGGGTAGAAATGGACGGCGTGAGGAAGACGCAGCCGGGGAGTCGCCGCCGCGGACGCTCCTGCGGGCCGAGCGGACACTGACGTGCAGGCGGAGAACTGCCTGGCCTGAGCCACGTGCCCAAGGGAGCCCCGGTCCCCGCTGTCCCTACGCGAGGGTGAAGCCTGCGGTTCGCACGGCGCCTCCGTGGGCTCACGCGGCCGCACGCAGGGCTGGTTTCTAGAACAAATGGACTCCCTCGTGATCAAGGCAGCACCCTGCAGTTCCCTGCACAGTGCTGACCCCTCGATGCTCAGTCCCGGCCAGCGGGGGCCTGTCCTTCGTGAGCCCCACTGTGCCCCAGCCACGCTGACACGGGAGGCGTCGGTCCAGAGCATGGGGTGAGCCAGCGTGGCGGCCCTTTCCTGGCACCAAAGCCTGACGGCCGAAGCTGGAAGGTTCCAGCTGTGCCTTCGTGAGTCGCTAACTGCCTGTCTCGCTTTTCTTAACTGTACGGCTAAGGACCTTTCTTCCTACATTAAAGAAACCAAACGACAACCTTAAAACTAACTGCATGAAGCGACTGTTCAAGACAACAGCCATCGCCAGTAAGGACGTGCTTCATCCGCTGTGGAGGTGACAGCGGTGAGAACGGCTGGCAGCCCCCCTCCCCAGGGCCGATGGTCCCTGAGCCCTTTCCACACAGCCAGCCCCGCGCCGACTGTGCGGTGTCTCTCTCGGTCCTCGCGACAACCTGAGGTTCCTCAGATAAGGAACCGAGACGGAGGAGGCCGGGTCCCCCGTTTGTTCTAGGCCACGGAGCCGGCAGACAGCAAAGCTGGGGGCCAGACCCAGGCCCGTGCTCAGCGTCCACGTCTGGCCGTGAAGGAGTAACAGCCACCAGATTTACCTCCTGTCCTAAAAAGCCACCGACCTGAACGAAATACGCGAAGCAGCCCTTTTCGGGCGCGGGCCAGCAGACGGCCAGGGCCGCAATGCTGAGAGGAGAGAGACACGGTCCCATGTTCGTCCTTGGCTTCTGCCCGCGGCCACTTTTGAAACCAGAGCACAGGAAGCAGGGGAAGCCGACAGAGCCACGGGAAATCAAGACTGCAGTGTGGGCCTTGTTAAGCCCACTTACTTGTAAAGCAGGTGAGGAGGAGGAGGGAGCTCTGCGATGCACTTGAGTCTGGTCAATGCAGAGCTGCACGGGTGCGGGGGCGAGCCTCCAGCGGGCCCGGCGGGGGAGAGCTACTGAGCCGCTGTTCACTGAGTGGGGCTTCACACAGCGCGGGGAGACACTGGCCTACAAACAGCCCAAGTGAGAGGCCTTGCTAAGCCCCGCCGGTTAGCTGAGCCTCCAGGAGGGCACGCCTCAGGTGTAAGGATTCTAGCCCTCAGGCCTTAACAAAACTAAGAGAAAGTCTCCACGGGACCACATGGGTCCTCCAGTAAATTACCTGCTTGTTAAAACTCAGCATCCTTAAAGGAGAACCGCACAAACCGGACTCTCGACAATGCGAGAACCAGTGTCCAGCATATAATCCAAACCTACTTGAGATGCAATACAAATCGGAAAATGTGACTCCTGTAAGGAGAGAAAACAGGCCATACAATCAGATCAAGGGATGACACAGATGTCAGAATCAGCACATAAGGACTTCGGAGCCGCTATTATATGTTAGGGA